CAGGTCAGACCCCGGCTCTCGAGTGAAAGTAGCCAGGTGGCGGCCCGTCCGAGCACACGTGCAGTGAGTCACACGCTCGTAGGCAGGGGTGAACTGGTGAACACCCGAGTCCTGGAGCGCACTACCTGCCACCAAGTTCGTGGAGAACGAGGGGAGGTAGAGACCTGAGAGTGTGCCGGACGGAACCGCTGGACACGGAAGGGTGGTGGAGGAGGTCGCAAGGACCGGACCCCCAGAGGGGTCAGCAAGAGAGACAGCAACCGGCCGAGCTAGAGGCTCAAGGACAGTGCGGTCACGAAAGAAAGAGCGAGAAGCACCTGAGTCCAGTGTGAAGGTGTGCAGTGCTGCAGTCGACTCAGTACCAGGGGGCACAGACGCACAAGCACCTAGAGCAGCAGCTGCAGTAGTACCTGTGGAAGCAGACACACTAGCACCTAGAGCAGCAGCGGGGCTGGCCTGAATGCCCGGGTCGGGCGGAACACGCAAGTACTGAGCACCCTCTCCACTAATAGACATCGCATACATGGCAGTGAGAATAGCATCAAAGTCAAGTGCCCAAATATCAACACCCTTCCTGAGCAGATCAGCCCAGCGCGGCAGCTCACCCCCACCAGGAAACTGGGTGCGCCACGCATCGTTGAGGCGGGCGAAGCAGCGCTCCGTCTGGTGCGGCCCCCCACACATCTGGCCAGTGCGGTCACCTGTACGAATAACGTACTGGCAGGTGACGCTGCGCCGCGCATACCACTCACGGGCGGCCTGAAGGGTCGGGGAAGGCTGCTGACTCTGACCGCCCCCCGGGCCTCCACGACCACCACCCCCTCCGCCTCCGCCCCGGCCACCTCCACCCCTGCCGCTGCCACGACCACCTCCGCCTCCGCTGCCACCTCCGCCCCTGTCACCACTCCCAACACCGCTGTCACCTCCACCACTGCCGCCACTAGTCTCTCCAGTCGCACCTCCACCGCCACCACCTCCACCCCCGCCTCCTCCGCCACCACCCCCACTCCTGCCACTCCTGCCCCTGCGTCGTCCGCCTGAAGCAGACGCAGCCCCGACCTTCTCAGCACCAAGGAGGTCGACAGCAGCAGCAGAGGCGACAGAGGGGAGGAGGGGGGAAGGGGAGCACCCCTCGAAGAAGGGGCCGCGGGGGTCGCCACGAGAGGTGCCTACAGCGACGATACTAGCCTCGGCTGCAAGCAGTTCCTTCTCGAGGAGGGCTATGGTGAGCTCAGTGGGGGAGCGAGAGAGGAACTGGTCCCTGACAGGGCGCAGAGAGTCAGGGAGGCGGGTGACAACGTGGTAGAGAGTGATCCAGAGCGGGGGGGGGTTGCTAGCGAGGAACTCATCAGGCATGGCAGCGCGAAAGCGAGCCTCACTAGTCTTAAGGTGGGTGATGAGGTCTGCGACAGTGTGAAAGGAGGCTAGGTCGGGGAACAGGTAGGGGAGAGTGAGGCGGCCTAGTGTGGCAGAAGCGGGTGAGGAGTAGCGGGCCACTACAGCTGTGTAGAGGTCCTTAGCAGTCTTGCACTGGCCGAAGTGCTCGCGCTCATCTAGCGGCAGGGAGTTGCGAATAGCAAAGCGAGCGTGCGCATCACGGGTCTGCCACTGTGAGCGCTCAGCTGGGGGGGCAGTAGCGAGTGGGGCGGTCGCATGGCCGAGAGCGTGGTCGTACAGTGTAATATCTTCCTTGGCAGTGAGCTGTAGGAAAAGGTGCAGGTCATCTAGCCAGGTTTCGAATTTGACCGGACGGCCCTCGGCGTCGAAAGCTAGAACAGGAGGACTAGCCATAGCGACAGCGGCAGTAGTAGAAGCAGTAAAGTCACTGAAAAGGCGTGCGCAGGGTCAGCGGGGCCGGTGGGGCCTACGGACTGTAGTGGCGCACAAGCAGTAGTAGCAGAAAGTGTAGTAGTAGGGGCGGGCTCAGCAGCGGTGATTCGCGGGCGACGGCGGGCGCAGCAGCGGCGGTGCGCGGGCGGCGGCGGGCTCAGCAGCGGTGGTGCGCGGGCGGCAGCGGGCGCAGCAGCGGCGGTGCGCGGGCGGCGGCGGGCTCAGCAGAGGCGGTGCGCGGGCGGCTGCGGGCTCAGCAGCGGTGGTGCGCGGGCGGCAGCGGGCGCAGCAGCGGCGGTGCGCGGGCGGCTGCGGGCTCAGCAGAGGCGGTGCGCGGGCGGCTGCGGGCTCGGCAGCGGCGGGCCGGGAGCAGTGCGGGCAGCGTGCGGGCCGGCGGCGGTCAGCGCACGAGCCGCGCAGGCTCAGCGCGGGCTGCGCGGGCTGCTCGCGGGCTGCGTAAGCGGGTCGCGGGCGGCTCGCGGGGGTTCGCGGGCAGGTCGCGGGCTGCTCGCGGGCAGTTCGCGGGCTGTGCGCGGGCTGCGCGGGCTGGTCGCGGGCTGTGCGTGGGCGGTTCGCGGGCTGTGAGCGCGGCGCGCTGTGCGGTTCGCGGGCGGCGTGACGGGGCCGATCGGGGCGCTAAGGGGCGACGCGACGGGGGCCGTGAGAGGCCGCTAAAAAAAAAAAATTCGAAGGGGCCGCAGGGCCGCTAGATCGTGCTAGATCGACGGGGCCATCGGGGCCGAAAAGAAGCGAAGGTAAGCAGGTAGGTAAGTCGGTGGGCCCTAAGAACAGTCCTAGCGAAGGACCTGCTCTGAAACCATGTCAGAAATAACTGAGCAGGAATGAATGAACTAGAACAGAGTTTGGTACAAGTAGGAAACCCTAACTTTGTGTACCCCCTAAGGTGTAACCCACTACAGCCTAGACAATATAAACATGCAATGTTTGACAGCAGGCACAAGGGATGCGAGAGCAGTGGAAAACAAAGGAGAAGATAGCTGGATTGTGGGTTGATGGGATGGGAGGTGAGAGACGGTAGTGCACACTACCCTCTCATTTGATACAGCACCAACACCTGCCACCTTATAGGCTGCAGGCAGGAGGAGGAGGAGCAGGAGGAGGAGGAGGAGGAGGAGGAGGAGGAGGAGGAGGAGGAGGAGGAGGAGGAGGAGGAGGAGGAGGAGGAAGAGGAGAGGGGAAGATAGTGCGTAGAGGCGCCTGGCAGCGCATGGGGTGGGAGGAGGGGGGACTGAGCAGGTGGACAAGGGCGGGATGCAAGGGCCGCGACTGGGGGAAGGGGCGGAACATGGGGTCGTGCAGTGAGGGGGCGTGCAGGCTGGTCTCTCCCTCCCTGCACCACGTCATCCTGCTTTCTCTCCCCCCCAACCTGCTGTCACCCCCCACATGCTGTCGCCCCCACCTGTTGTGTCCCCCCCTCACCCACCCCTGCCTCGCACATGTACCACTGCTACATGGCAACTCTACTACTCCCACCCGCCACCCTTCCTCCCCAACCAACTCTCTCCCACCAACCCTCTCCCACACCTCTCCCGCACCAACCTGGGATCGAGGCGTGCTTGAAGGGGCGGCAAGCTGCGGCTAGTGCGCAGCACTTGCACGCGCACCACACCCGACTGGTTGGCTTTCTTGCCCTTGCCCTTGCCCTTGCTGCACCCGCCCACCCCCAGCAGCGTCCACTGCCTCAGTGTGTCTGTTGCCTGTGGCGTGTGCAGGCGATTGAGTGGGAAGAGCACGTTACGGAAACACACCTGCCACTCAGACAGGGGACGGGCAGGGTGCAGGGAGCAGGGAAGGGCGACAGAGTGATATAGTGATTGGGTGCAGTTGGCTCAAGGAGGGAGGGGGAAGGGGGGCGCGGACGCAAACGTGGGAGATGAGGGTGAATAGAGTGGGGGGGACTGCAGATAGGAGGTCAAAGGCGGGAAACGGGCGATAGGAGGGAAACGGGACAGGGGTTGGAGGGAAGTGCATAGGGGAATGTATATGCAGCGATTTATGGGGAGGAGGGCAATGCGAAAGCACATGTGGGTGGTTTGTCCATGCTTGCCTGCCAGCCCTTGTCCCCCACTTCATCTTCCTCTTACTCATCTCGAGCCCACTACTGCCTCTCACCTTCTGTTCCTCCCTCACCCCACTAACCTCCATCCCCTCAACCAACTCATCTCCTGCATTAGCTAGGTTGCGAACTGAACCAGTTCGGTTTTATACCCTTGGTAACCGAACCGTTTCGTAAATGAACCGTTTCACATTGGAACGGTTTGTGGTTCGTTAAAATAGCTAGCAAACCGAACCGACCCAGTTAGGTAACAAACCTAAGTTGTTCGTTGTTTTCAAGGACCTGTTCAAATGGTCCTACCAGCTGACAACTAGAAAACAACCATGGGAAACACTCTAGTGCTTGGTGAAACGAGAATTTTTGAGACGATGACAAAGTTAAAGCTCGAAACGAGCACCAAAGCTCTAACGTTTTGTGTTATATCTGAACTTACATGACCCGGATCAGTTGGTCGTGGATTGAGAATTTGCTGAACATAAACCCCATGAATTGATTCGGTTCGTTCACAAACTAGAAGAAAAAACAACCGGTTCGGTTCGAGGAAAACTGAGCCGAATCGCATTGAACCGAACCACACCGAATTGAACCGCAGTTCGGTTCCCTGCTTATGCTACCTTAAGGCCGGGCGTGTGCCCGAGCAGCAGCTGAGCCTTGGGGCCGAAGAGGATGTGCGCCATGTCAGCTGTCCACGCGCTGCGTACCTCGCGCTCCCTTGGGAAGAACGCCACGCCCCCCCCCCACCCCCCCCACCCCCCCACCACCCCCCCCCCCCTCTCGTGTCCTATGTCGGGTCTGAGGGGGCGCGCGCACCAGGTGCACTAGGGGGAGGGGAACGAGGAAGGTTGGCAAAGGGAGGGGCAAGGAGGGTGGAGAAAGGGAAGGGCAAGGATGGTGTGAAAAGGGAATGGCCAGGATGGTGGAAAAGGGGAAGGGCGAGGAGGGTTGCAGGAGAGGGGCGAGGAGGGTCGGAGGGGGGAGGGGCGAGGAAGGTTGCAGGGGCGGGGAAGGTAGGCACTGCTGAGGCAGAAAATCCACCCTGCACTCACCACCACCCTTCACTCACCACCACCCTTCACTCACCACCACCCTTCACTCACCACCACCCTGCACGCACCACCACCTTGCACTCACCAGCGGCCTGCATGAGCGGCACCACAGCCTCGCCAAAGCCCCCCATGTACGTGCCGTGCCGCGGCACATACCCCACCTTCTCCATCCGCCCTCTGCGCGGCCACTTGGCCAGACATGCTCTTCTAGCCACGGCGCTGAGGTTGAGGTAGCGCGTGACAGCACAGGGGCTCTCGAAGCGGCCGTACACGCGGGGTGTCACAGCGCTTGATGTCGGTGATGTCGTGCAGCTCCTCGTCAAACTTGTCCGTGAACCCCGGCGCCTCATTCTCAAACCCCCACAACGCCATGGGTATGGGTGATGCAGTCTGTTGTTGCTGCTTCTGGGGTGTGGCTGGTGGTGATTAGGTGGATGAAGGCTTGGTTTTGTGTTGGGAGGGGACAGGGTTGTGGGAAAGGTGGGTTTGTGCTCGGATGCGGATACGAGGCGTCGCCTCTTGTCCATGTAGGTACCTCGCTCCTCACCCTCCTCCCCTTCGTCAGCTGAATACCGCACTCGACTGCCATCCCTCCAATCCCCCTCCTCCTCCTCCTCCCTCCAATCCACCCTCCCACCATACCTCTCCTTCCCCACCCCACTCCCCTTCCTACCCCGCCCCGCACCCCCTTTCCGCCCATCCACTCCCCCCACTCCCCCTTCCCCCTCCTCCACCCCGCTCAACCGCACCACATCGCGCCTCATAGTGGCCTCTCTGTCTGTGGCAGCCTGTGCCTCTCGGGGCGAGAGAGAGCACCAGGATTGGTCCTGCTGGTCGGCGAGGGCGTCGGGGTAGAGCAAGCAGAGGTTGTTGGACGTGCTGATCCACTTGAAGTCACGCACGCCCTCGTCCGAATACCACATGCCCGCCATTGGCTGTTGCAGCCGTGATGGGCGTGAGGGAGGGGAGAGGGGAAGGGGGGAGCGGCGGGAGGGGGGTGGGGGGGAGGGGGGGGAGGAGATGGGAGAGCAGAGTTGGTTGGACATGGTGATACGCTTGAAGTCGCGCACATCCTCGTCGGAATACCACATACCACATACCTCGTCTCTCGTCCACCTGATGGTGTGTGCACGCGTGATGGGCCTGGGAGCAGGAGATGGGATGGGAGATTGGGGGGAGGGAGAGTGCAGTGCGAGTGTTGCTGATGGAGTGACGCTCAAAGCAAACCCGCCCTCGTGCACCCACCACATGCCTTGCCTGCTGCTGCCACATGCAGGCGCGACGAGCCTGCGGGAAGAAAAAGGGGGGGAGGGGGTGGAGAGGAGGGAGGACGAGGGGGGGGGGTGTGGGGGGTAAGACAGGTGGGTATGATGGTGATAAGTGCAAGTAGAGGTGCGCCATGAATGCTGTGACATGTACCTGTCGTGTGCATGAGAGACCACACACCTTCACGTGCACATGGCACCTACCTGTCATGTCCCACGTGGCAACCACTAATCATATGCACGTAGCAGACGTACTGGATGAGCAGCACACAGGCAAAGTCGTCGGGCTGCTGTAGCAAGAACACCCCCGGCATGAGCGAAAACGACCTCACGTCCCACTTGCCCCTCTACCCTCAAATGCACGCCAGGGGCACATGCGAGGGGAGGAGGGAGGCAAGAAGGCGATAGGGCACAGGCAGGGGCGAAGAGGCGCAGGCAGAGGCACAGGGGTGCAAGGAAGGGCGAAGTCAAGAATGTGAGGGCACCGCATGTGAGGGCAAGGGATGTGGGAATTGGAACTAGACATGTGGAAGCATGGCATGTGGTGGGATCATGACATGTGGCGGCATCAACACAGCAGCACCCTCGGCAGGCGTCTAGAGAGAGGCAAGTGGAGTAGGACGAGGGCGGGCCATAAGAGAGGGACAGAGGGCATAAAGGGGGAGGGAGAGAAGGCGGGGAGCGTACGAGGAAGAGGAGGAAGGAGTTGTCAATGGTGTTCCAAAGCACCTTGCTGGCGTCCAGCCCCGGTGCGATGTGGAACAGCCGCGCGATCACCGTCTCCCTCGCCCTCACTGCCGCGCTCAAATGCGCGCACACGCCCTGCCTCATGCCCGCCCCCCCCCTCCGCTTGCTGCTCGCCCCGCCCCCTGCATGCGTGCTGGGAGAGGGGAGAAAAAGAATGGTGGGTTTGAGAATGGGGAGGGGAGGTGGTGGGGAGTAAGATGGGTGGGAGAGGCATCACGGGACTAGCCATGGCGTGGAAGCATGGAATGCAATGCCATGCATGCGGTGTCATGCAGCAGAGGTGCCACGACGCAGGACACCAAGAAGTGCGTACCACCTGCCAGCGCATGGCAGTGGGGTCTGCCAGCGCCGTACCGTGCGCGGGCGGGGGGGTCGCCGGAGAGTGCGGCGTGGTGCGCCATGGCGTGCTCCTGCTGCCTGCTGCGCAGGCGGATGTCGGCGGAGGCGGCGGAGAGGGAGCGCGAGGAGAGCCCTGACTGGAAGAATAGGTAGATGGTCGACACATTCAGCAGCAGCAGCAACACCGCCACCCCCGCCACTTTCGGCACCACCGCGCCCCCGCCCGCCTCCGCCCGCCCTCTCCGCGCCCGCCGCTCCACTTACCCCCACCCCATGACCCGCGTGTGCCCCGTGGCCCGCGTGCGAGGGGGCCGCGGTGGAAGTGGCTGCTGGCGGCAATCTCGAACTTGCCAGAGAGCGTTCGTGGGAGAAGGCGGCAACCGGGGAGGCGACGATGCCAGCGGCGGAGGGCACGCGGAAACTTTGCAGGATAGCATGATGCCACCAGATTTTGTGTCAGATGTAGAAAGTGAAAGTGGCAGTAGCACAGATAGTGATGATGATGAGGACTGCATGTTACATTACACACTTATGTTTGTAGGCTGTAGTGGGGTAACTCACATGGGGTACAACTCATTCTAGGGTTTCTACTTGTATCCCAACTGTTTCTAGGTCACCCATCCGTACTCGAGATTCCGACATGATATTCAGAGCAGGTCCCTACGTAGGACCGCTCCTTAGGGCCCACCGCTAGTATCGTTCCTGCCAACTGTTTTGTTTTGTTTTGTTCTTTTTGTTTGTTTGTTTGTTTTTTTTTTTTTTTGGTTTTTTTTTTTTTTTTAATTCCGGCCCTGCCCTAATAGCGTCTTACAGGCTACCCTGCCCGAGCTACATCGTGAACCTAACTGCATGCGCACTGCAGCTTGCGTGCTACCCCCCTATACAACCCGTGCTGCCACCCCTGCAGATCGCGCCCAGCCCATCCAGCCAGTGCGCCGCCCGCTCTGCCGCCATCTACATCCTTGCGTACGTCAACGACTTGGTCTTTGCTACGCCACTGGCACTTGTGAAGTCGGAGTTGCAGAAGAGACACACCTGCACTGACCTTGGTGAGCTGCGCAGCTATCTTGGCTTGCAGATCACTCGGGACAGAGCACGGCGCACCATCACTCTGACTCAGTCACACATGGTGCACCAGGTCCTTCAGCGCTTCGGCTTCCAGTTCTTCTTGCCATAGTCCACTCCCCAGCCTACAGGCCACTCGCTCTCAGCTCCACCTTTGGACGAGTCCGTAGAGCCGAGTGGTCCATATCCAGAGCTTGTGGGCTGCCTCATGTACATGATGACCTGCAGTCGACCTGACTTTGCGTACTCTCTCAACATCCTAGCACGCTACGTTGCGCCTGGGACACACCGACCAGAGTACTGGCGGGCTGCTACGAAGGTGCTGCATTACTTGTGCAGTACGTTAGGCATGCTTGGAGGACGGGGTCCAGTTGTACTCACTGGACACTCAGACGCTTCTTGGGCAGACGACCAGGCGACTCAGCGGTCGTCACAGGGTTACACCTTCAGCCTTGGCTCCGGTTCATTTTCTTGGAGGTCTACCCGTTTGTTTTCTGTTCTCAGCTCCAGTTGTGAGGCTGATATCTACGCGGAGGCCATGGCTGCACAGGAGTTACACTGGCTGACCTATTTGCTTACTGACCTGGGAGAGAGGCCTCGTTCTCCCCCAGTTGTGTACGTTGACAACAAGGCCATGATTGCCTTGTGTCAGGAGCACAGACTGGAGCACAGAATGAAACATATCGCTCTGTACTACTTCCTCACACAAGAGTTGCAGCAGCGTGGTCAACTTCGTCTTGCTTACGTGGCCATTCGGGCCAACACTGCTGATATTTTCACCAAGGCACTTGTGTCTGGTGATCATCAGCGCTTTTGCACTGCTCCAGGACTTGTGCATATGCTGCCTCACATCACTTGCTTACTGCTTAACTTTGCCTTGTACCGTGATCTTCATATCTATACGTGCTTATTTTGCCATTTTATAACTCTGCATGTGAACTGGCCTTATGGCCTCTTACTTGTGCTCAGACTATGTTGTGACTTTGTGATCCACCCTGAGCTTTGCTTTGCTTTGCTCTCATGTTTGACTGGTCTTGTGACCATTGGTTGTTCTTGTTATTCCCCACTTTGCCAATGGGGGTGTGTCAAACTACACATGTTTGTAGGTTGCAGTGGGGTAACTCACATGGGGTAGAACTCATTCTAGGGTTTCTACTTATATCCCAACTGTTTCTAGTTCACCCATTCCTGCTCAAGATTCTAACACTGCATGCCTTGTGATGTACCTGTTGCTAATAACGTACCGACTGATGTTGGTGGGGGGAGGTTAGAGGGTACATCTGGAGGGGCACCTACTGTGAAAGATGGCTTCACGATTCCGAGGTTTGATGATGTAGAGGAGCGTCCATTCAACTGGTTGTTGATGGAGAATCTGTCACATAGCCAGATTGCTACCTTGTTAGCAATCCTATGTCATCCAAGCACACGGCTGTTTGACATTGCTGAATGGAAAAGCATTCGTGAAGTCGAGGGTTGATGACATGTCGAGGGGCTGGAAAAAGGCCAAGGTATGTGTTGGGACAAAGACATGGCTGGAATATCACTTTTATGATGGCCTTGAAGCGCTCAAAGATCTTCTCACACATCCAAAGCTTAAAGGTAAGATCGTGAAGGAAGCAGCACCTCGCAACCCTGGCGAGACGCATGTTTACACCAACCCAGAAACGGGTGATTTGTGGTAAAAAATGCAAGAAAACATTCGTAGGGAGATGGTTGATGGCTTTGTCGCTGCTCTAATACTAGCGTCGGATGAGACACACATGGACCAGCGGGGTAAGGCCAAAGGCCAACCCTTATATATGATGCTGGCCAATATTCTAAGTGAAGAGAGGTGGAAGAAGCTTGTGCATGTGCTACTTGCTCTTCTTCCAGAATTTACAACAGAGTACGACTCACTGGATAAGCTTCTTGTGTTCCAACATGTGCTTAACCAAGTTTTAGCCCCACTCAAGCGTGCGACGCACATAGGTGTGAAGATCAAGGCTTCCAACGGTGAAACCTTGAACGTTTCGCCAGCTCTTTATGCGTATGTGTGTGACTATCCAGAGTCGTGCAAGGTCACGTGCACAAAGTCGGGAAGTACCGATTGACCATGCTCCATTTGCCTCACAAAACATGCTGTGTTGGCACACTTTAAGCAAGGCATGGTCAATAGGACACCTCATGTCCATCGGACATTGTACCGAATGATAAAGAGTGGTGCGTATGATGCTGCGCAGCACGATGACTTGTTAATGCGTCCTGTGCAGTATTGCCTATAATGATGGAGTTGGGAATCTGAACCACTCCTCAACCCATGTTGGATCTCAAATTCTTAGCTCCGAGGCCCAGCGCTTGCGCTAGCAGCCACTTGCACCACTCTTGGGCAAGAGGAAAAGGTATGACACGACCATGCTTATGGTCCAACGGACAGGTACATGCTTCTTGTCTCGCACGAGTTGGAAGTTGATGGTACCAAAGGCCCTGGAAGTGCCAAAGCCACAAACTTCAGATGACAAAAGGGATAATGCTTATGT